CGCTCTTCCCATTCACTGTTTCTCTCTTCCTCGTGCAGGATTTGGATTCGATATCTTCTCCACTCTCCCTGCTAAGAGATTTCGTGCGGCGAGTGGTCTCAGCGAATTGAGGGCCTCTGGGGAGATCGGACTCCAATGATTGTCATATTTTACTGAGGTTGTAAGGTTGAAAAATAAGTATTTTAATTTAACTTTTAACTATTTATAGTAGGACATAAATACATAATTGTACTAAGGAAAAACTCATGCACTAAATAAAATATATAAACAATGATTGTCATAACTTTAAGGAAAAACTCATGCACTAAATAAAATATATAAATAATTTCAAATCCGTCATAACTACATAACTTGCACAAAAATGATTCTAAAATAAATGATTTGAAAGTAAAAGTTCACAACACAACATAAAACACTGTTGTACTGAAGAAATACCTCATATACAAGCTTGTTCTATTGAACAAAGTACGTAAATAATCTCTAAATCTTCTATAATAAGGAAAAAAATGATTCTAAAATACATGATTTGAATGCAAGGGTTCATAGCGTGTCATAAAACACGATTCTATCTGAGATTTTTGTACTCGTTATAGCGGATTTAGAGATTATTTACTTGTTTTGTTTAGTACAACACAATTCTACCTCAGTTTTTTCTTCAATACAACCGTACTTCATGCTATGTTATGAAACTTTACTTTCAGATCATTTATTTCAGAACCATTTTTGTCCTCGTTATAACAGATTTAGGGAATATATATATATATATAGATATATACATATATATTCAGTACAACACAGTTGTACTTGAGTTTTTTTCTTTAGTATAACCATATGTTTATGTCATACTATGAATACTTACATTCAAATCATATATTTTAGGACCTTACAACTTAATTATACTGAACAAAATACGTTAATAATCTAATTTTAGATTGGAGTCTGGACGTAGAGTAATGTCTGGACCCCGCACGTAATATTTTTTTTCCGATGTGGGGATGTTTACATAGCTAAACTTGATCAAACGGACTTGAAAAACCTATTATGTCGTGGGGCTCACTTCATAATTTTTTCAAGGATTGAGGTTGAATCATAGAGATCCAAAATAAATAAGTAACCAAAGAAAAAAAAAACGTATATCCACCGAAAATTTATGAAGTCTTGATAAATATGATATTAGCTAAATCAATATGAGTCATTGAAGTTGGCTGAAACATTTACAAACTCGACCTATTTGGCTTGTCCAATTTATGATGAATTTGCAAGATTCATGGAGAACTTACAAAACTTGTATTAAACTTCTTAGAATTAGTTTGAACTCAATGAGCTCACAAGGCTCAACCATAATTGCTAATTTTCAAGAAATACTTCTCGAACAGCCTTTATTATAAGACATCAATGGCTTCTTAGTAAGTTTGCCACAAGTTCTCAACTAGGTTATACACCATGTGATTTATAGAGAATAACAAATAGATCTCATTGTACTTCATTTATTCAAATCATGCAGTATGTAGTTTATTCTACAACACTTAAATTCTGACCTAAACTTATAAATGGTGGATTGTAGGAATAGTTAAGGTTAGCCGATTACACAATCTTATGCAATTTTTTTTTCTAATTATTCTATTCCAATAAAATTCTTAAACTTCGTTTTTATATATATTTGATCTCTTTCTCTCTTTCTCTCTTTTAGTCTCTTCCTCTTAGTTTCATTGAGTGCTTATAAAATTTTGATATAACCCATTGATAATTTAGTACCAAGTGTCATAAAAAGTGTGGTGAACGTGAATCTATGTCAACAACCAAAAGAGTCACACCAAGGATAATATAAGAGCAAACCAGAGGGACTTTAGCTAGCTTGTTGCACGAAGCCTTTGTAAATACTTGAGAATTGACAGAGATAGATAAAAAGATTATAAAATTGATTCTTGAATATCAGAGAAAATTTCAAGATCAACTCCTAGGTTGCAGCTACTAGAGTCATCATCGTTCCCTATCGTTGGATGGAGGCATCTAATTCAATAGTCTTGCCCTCCATCCCAACAAATGATGAAACATATTGCTCTAATAATAAAAGATTTATCTCCCTCATCAAGTAGAGAGAAGAGCTTGGTAGAATAGTCATTTGGACACACGCAAGGAGAATTTTATCCTCTTATGGCCATCCACACGCCAAAGAAAACTAACTCATTCTGGTAGACGTCAAGCTAATAGCAAGTGGCTCCTCGATAAAAAATTTTATTGTCCGGACTCCAGATGTAGCTCTACGTGCAGACTCCAATAATATGCCGGCACACGTGTTACATCGTGAAGGTTATTTCGAGGTTATTGAAGTGGAATCGTGGAGGTCATTTCAGAGTTTTTGAAGAGAAACACGTACATTCCACTTCAGTAACCCGGAAATAACCTAGAAATAACCCCAAAATAACCTCTACGGTTCCACTTCAAGAATCCCAAAATAACACTGCGAAGGTTATTTCGGGGTTATTGAAACGAAATATATGATTTTCTCTTCAATAACCCCCGAAATAACTCTTGCAGTGTTATTTTAAGGTCATTGAAATGGACCCGCAGAAGTTATTTTAGGGTTATTGTGGAGTTCACGATTGTACTTTAATATGGTGAAGTCTGCGATATTAGGGTTATTGTGGGGTTATTGTGGAGTTCGTGGTTCCACTTTAATATTTTTTTAGGTGGACCTGATATAGTACACATGGTGGTATTACTATGAGTCCGCACGTAGAGCTGCGTCCGACGTTCAGATAAAAAATTTTTGTACAAGGCCCAACTCCAACCACCGATAATAAACCTCACCGCGTCCATGCCACTGATCAACAAGCATAGCTGAGCTGCTGTCGTCTGGCACAATGACATCGTTGGTCTAAGCATCATTGAGCTTCTTCACTCTTACTGAGCTCGACTCCACTAGTAAGGTGGTGTTGTACCATGCAGGCCTCTGAGTGAACCACCCTCCCTGTCCATCTAACCTATCCGAGAGCTATGTAGCATTTACATTCATAGCAGTCAATTCTTTATTAAATATCGCACAACTAAAGTTTCAGATTTACACAAATCTCTAATATCACGTTAAAAAAATAATATTGTTATCATTTTTTAAAGTGAAATAAATATATTTTTGCATATAAGTTTAAAACAACAAAATGGTGTACAAGTATATATGAGAGTTAAGTTGCTGCATATAAGTTTAAAACAACAAAATGGTGTACAAGATGAGAGTTAAGTTGTGAATTCAAGCTAAATAGTTTGTGTATGTATGTATATGTATACCTTAACTCAAATCCCTTAACACAAAGTCCTTAACTCAAATCCCACCCAAAAGGTTTGAATACTTACATGCATACCTACTACTATAATTTTTTTTTTTTTTGTATGTGTGCATGCGTATACCTTCTTTATGAAACTCGCAAGGTTGATTAGACATTTAAAACACTCAAATTCTTGAGTGTCATACCAAAACAATATGCTAAAATGTACAATGAAATCCATATTCGTCGATTCCATCTCAATTCAATCAAAATCAAGGTGGGCATTTTTGTAGAATGACCATCCTTTCAAACCAACTAGTAAGGCATCAAAATGATGGTTGATTGGGTCATTCATTAAATATTCAATAAATAAACTAATATACTAGAAAGAAAAAATACTCTAAACTTAAAAAGGCATTTATCTAAGAATTGTCATTCTTTAATAATTATAAGCTCTCTCATAAATGTAAGATATGTCACAAAAATGAAGGTCAATGTGAGAACAAAGAGGCATCATCTATTCATGTCCCTTGTCATTAATAGACAATTATAATAATTTGTTTGAAACTTACAGTTGCAATTAAAGTTTAAGGATCAAGTTTGAATATAAACTTAAAAATGATCATATGTAAATAAAATTAACCCTAATTTGGCATATTAATTAAATGGGCCAGTCGTCTTAATTAGAGCTAAACCGAGCGTGAATATGACACTAATAATATTTAACTTTTGATAATTTATCATTAGTTCAACCTAGAATTGACAAATTTAACCCATTTAGATACTAAATCATCACGTTGGTTGGCTTGAACCCACTTTGTTTATTTTGGATGTGAATAAAATGATTTTTTTTTGTGACAATTTAATATTGACACCCCTATTTGACATGATATAACCTTCAAAACCTCATGTAATGACTCCTTTATGGGACTCCTGAAGTTGATTAAACATATCAAACAATTAGATCTTTAAGTGTTATGCAAAAGTAAAATGCTAAGATACGTAATGAAATCCATATGCATTGATGCCATGTAAATTCAATCCAAATAAATATTGTTATTTTATAGAATCTTCTCATTTTCAAACTAATTCATAAGGCATTAAGAAAAAAATGAGCATTGATTGGGGTACTCATTTAACATACAAACATCCAATGTATTAGAAAGATAATGAATCCGATCTTAAAAAGGCAATTATCTACAAAGAACCATTCTTTCTACTTTAATAGAGAAAATTCAAAAAATTCTTAATAAATAACAGAGTTACATAAGACATTAGAAGATATTATATGAAACATTTCTGTGGTAACCAACTTGATTATGTGTACAAACTTATGGTTTCCGTTATTTTAGGAGCTTAAACTGTATAAAGCCACCCATAACCTTTGAGTTCTTTATATTATCCAAAAATAAATAAACAAAGCTATAATGTAAAATCAATTCTAAGAATATGTCATATTCTCAAGTCAAGCTTCTTAAAGAAGGTAGGCCTCATTACTATAATGGTCTCATCAATGGAGCATGAGGAGTACTTTTCATGACACCTTTAGAAGATCAAGCCTTACCCCTATAATTATGGTATATTAAAGTACCAAAGTTTATCGAGATAAGTTAACTAGAGGCCTTTCTCTGATAATTTAGTACAAAGCTATAACTCTTTCATAATTAAATAGAAAATTGAGTCCCAACTCTCAAACTCTTTTTCTGTCATGTCTCATCTCTAATGCA